ATGATTAAATGGAAATCGTTCAGAGACTGTGAATCGTTGTTGGGGGGACAGGGTGCACGGTCCTCGTAGCCGTGCTAGGCTCAATAAGTGGTACCGTCCAGTGTGTGGCGGACTACGGCCCAGCCACCGCTTTGTGTATATCTGGTACGCATGATTCCCCAATTACCCAAGTATGCTACTGTGCATGCTGAAAAATGTGGGACAACTTCGAATCAATCGTTGCATCTATCTACATGCCTCCCGGTTTCATTCCTTCTGGTTTACAATGGATATGTGGTGTATGGATGGAGCTGTGGGTGGCGCAGCGCAAACTACCCATGGTCCTTGATGCGCCCTCAGCCAGTGCTCCGTGTCATCTTTACTGCGAAAGTACGCGTGTGTGAGTGTTTCGTCCCCCCTCTCATTACGTTCACTGACCAAGTCCCTCCCTGTCTAATCTAACATTGGACTCAGCTCCCACGTTACTTGCCTGCTGAATGCACCGTTGCTTAAGATATACTTTCAATGTCCCGTTATTGTTCTGATTCATCTGGGTATAACAACTTGGCGACGGAGGTTATTTGGATCACTTATGGCAAATTGAATTATTTCACCTCAGCCGTTTTGGAATTCTGTCGCGAAAAGGCCTACGACGCAGCAATGGACGCAGTGAAAGACCACTTACACTAATTACATGGATTTACTCGTGCTTTATGGTATTAACAATGCGATTGACGAGGCATCAAAAATCAAATTACTGCATCACCACCTCGGTAACGAAGGACAGCGACATTTTGATAGTTTGCAGCTACACACGAAACATGACTTACAAACTGTGCTCTATTCTCTTGACCGACGGTGGGGAGAAAAACCACACGTGTTCATAGCCCGGTACAAATTTGACCCCATGAGGCAACAACCGAGTGAAATTGTAAGTGGATTTATTTCACGAATCCTTACTGTCCTTCTTGATTGCGCCTATGACCAGATCAGGCCAACTCAGTCCGAGGAAGCAATGCTTTTACAAGCATTGATCGTTGGTGTACTTGACGATAAAGCACGACAGCGTCTTTTGTCAGAAGATGAAAAGACCCTTACTTGGGAAGAAGCTTGTGATATAGTTCGACAACGTGCTAATCTCGTTCAGGAACTAACGGCATTCTCCTCTTCCGATCAAATAATTTCACAAGAGGTAAACAAAGTCTCTCAAATAAAGCGTGATCGTACATTGTCTCAATCCGTACAGCGCAGAGAATTCCGTTGTTATCGCTGTGGCGAGCAGCATTCTGATCCGGCTGATTGCCAGCATCTTCACTCATTATGCAGGTTTTGTGGAAAAAGAGGACATATCCAGAAAGTTTGTATTTCCAAAAACTGCGAACCACATTACTGAAGATTTAAACCAGAACTGGATAAACACCACAACAGTTTTTAATTACAACATAGCGGGGAAACCGTCAGTTGTGTCTATCCAGGTGAACGAACAACTTGTTGATTTCGAAATTGATAAGGGTTCCGCAGCTACGCAGATACGACCAGATGCCCTGTCGCAACTACCAAAACTAGATCCCCTACAATACAACTACGACCATACACCGGACAGTTGGTAAATGTGTTGGGTACCTTTGTTGCACGCATTTCCTACCGCCATTCGACGGATCAAATCCGTGTGTACGTTTCTGGGGGACCAGGTCCAAACATACTTGGTCGTGATGGTATTAAAGGACTTCCGGGCATCATGTCAAACGTCAACACGGTTGAAGCTTGCCTACAATTATCTGGGATTTTGCAAAAATATGCACCTCTTTCTGATCAAACTAAGGCAGGCCTGTTGAAGAATTACGCGGCCCGATTGTTACTGAAACCACAAGCAACAGAGATTCTGGAAGGCACGCACCATACCTTATGCTTTTCGAGACAAGGTCGAGACTGAGCTGCGCCGACTGCTAGAAGAGGGTACAATTGTATCCGATTGGACTGCTCCTATAGTGCCTGTATTGAAAATCGATGGTACTGTAAGGCCCTGTGAGGACTACACAGATACACTCAACCAAGCACTACAGCTAGATCGATATCCACTGCCTAAAATTGAAGATATTTACGCCTCTCTCTCTTGTGGCGAAACTTTTACCAAACTGGACCTGAGCCACGCTTACCAGCAAATTGAATTCGACGAGGATTCACGTGCTTTCACTACCATCAACACACATCTTGGGTTATTTCGCTACATACGCATGCTGTTCGGAATAAGCTCTGCATGGTCCATATTTCAACAAATTATCGACTCGCTAGTGAAAGACATACCAAATACATGTGCCTATCTGAATGAAATCCTAATTACCTGGTGCAGAACTGCTGAACATCTGAACACCCTGGATGTAGTTCTAAAAATGCTATTAGACTCCAGACTGATAATAAAGAAAGTGACAATTTCTTGTACCGAGTGTGCAATACTTGGGGTACGAACTCTCGCGCGAGGTGTTGTATACGCTAGAAGAGAAAACCAGGACACTCCTTAAAGCCCCAGCGCCCCAAAATGCAAACGAACTACGCTCCTTTCTAGGAGCAGTCACTCAGTTCTCCAGGTTCATACCAGCATCAGCAACTCACTTACATCCGCTTCATCAAGTTTTGCGCAAGAATCAACCGTGGAAATGGAACGCTGATCACGATTATGCTTTCAACGCAGGAAGGAAACTTTTGGTATCAGCGGAGGTCCTTGTACATTAGGATCCACGGAAACCTATTGTTCCCACTTATGATGCTTCTCCTTACGGCCTAGGGGCCGTTTTGCTACATAATTTACCTGATGGCTCATAGCGACCTGTTACCTACGCTTCACGAACCTTAGCCACAGTCGAAAGGAACTACTCTCAGCTCGATCGAGAGGCAGCCGCTGTTATCTTCGGGATCAACCGATTCCATCAATACTTGCTCGGTCAACATTTCGTGATTCACACAGATCATAGACCCCTTATCTCGCTTCTTGGGCACGGAAAAGGAATTCAATAAATGACTCCCCAGAATGATCCGCTGGTCCCTCATTCTATCTGCTTACACATATCAGATTCAGTATGTTCTGGGCAGACAGAATACCGCCGCTGACATCCTCAGTCGACTCATCTTACCGGAGATCCCTTCAGAAGACTTTACTCCACAAGAACTTGTGAATCTAATTCAGCTCTTCAACAATGCTCAGATCACGTCCACAGATATACGTCACAAGACAAATAGAAATCCGTTATTAGCGCTTGTAATGCGGTACTTTCAGGTTGGATGGCCCGACAACACACCTGCAGAACTTACACATTTCCGCCATAGAATGACTGAACTGACCCTCCAGAATGGATGTTTGCTGTGGGGTGCACGGGTTGTGATCCCTAAAAGATTGCTATCAGCCATCCTGAACGAGCTTCACGATGCACACCCAGGAGTTGCTAAGATGAAGGCACTGGCCCGTTCCTATGTGTGGTCGCCCGGATTGGATGACGACATTGCGACGAAAGTTGGATGTTGCATGCTTTGCCAAGAATCTCGAAACGCGGTCCCCCACATACCGATGCAGCCCTGGACATGGCTAGAGACGTTCTGGAAACGAGTGCATGTGGATGTTTTCGGTCCATTTGAAAGTCAAATGATTCTGCTTGTAGTTGATGTGCATTCTAAATGGACTGATGCTCGCATTCTGTCCACAGCGACTTCAGCTAGCACAATAAGCAAACTACGCACTACGTTCGCTACTTTTGGACTTCCCGAAACACTTGTGTCTGACAACGGATCTGTGTTCACCAGCACAGAGTTTTCCACCTTCCTCACCTCAACTTGAATTAGACATGTGACTACCGCCCCTTATCATCCGTCTTCGAACGGTTTAGCAGAAAGTGCTGTACAAACAGTGAAAAATATGCTGCTCAAACAAACAGGTGCGCCATTGCGTGTACGTCTAGATCGTGCTCTTTTTGCTTACCGAAATATGGTGAACGATACCACCGGAAGAAGTCCTGCGGAGCTTATGTTTGGCTGCCGTTTGCGTACTCGATTGGATTCACTGCACGGAACTCTGGCAACTGAAGTTCGCAAAAACAAGAACGGGTGAAGGAACGCTTTGATACTCGCAGCAGAAACAGGTTTGTAACATAATCACATCCAATCTACATACGCCTGCCCACAGACGACGGATGGCAACCAGCCTTTGTCAAAACGGCTAACGGGCAGATCATAGAGGCAGAGACTGAGGACGACAAAATCGTGCGGCGTCACATGGATCACGTTCGGCCAAGGCCGTCAACATCCGATTCAACCTGCGAACCAAATTCCCCACCCGCAGTACTGGACGACATGCGAGCTAATGACTCACCACCGGAAGCCGAAGCGCCGCTGCGCAGATCAACCCGCGACCGCCGACCGGTTGAGCGTTTCCAAGCTGCATAGTTGCAGCTACCAAGGGAAGAGGTGATGCGGCTTCAGCCAGTGTTCCGTGTCTCAGCTACTGACTCAGAATGTAAGCGTTTGTGTGTGTATTTCGTCCTTCCTCTCATTGCGTTCATTGGACGGACAAGTCCCTCCCTAACTGATTGAACACTGGACTCAGCTCACGTCATTTGCTTGCTGTTTGTTTCTATACGTTTACTGTATGCACCGTTGCTTACGATATACCTTCATTGCCCCGTCATTGTTCTGATTCACCTGCGTGTAACAGTCCCCCAGTAAGCGCAGGCGTTCTGCAGGTGTTCGCAGTCGAAGTGACAGGAAAATCCGAATGTCACCGACCACATATACCATATAATCTCAGTCCCCTGGTTGCTGTTTTTGGCGTAAGCGTCTAACGAGAAAAATGAAAAGGTTTTGGCCCAGCTAGAGAATCGATGATGGCGAAGTGAAGCTCACTGATAAGATGTGAATGATTCAACAAATAGCACAGGACTGTCAGTTATGTTGTTGGGTAAGAAGCTCGCCTTTGACAGGAAATAGACGTAATTCGACCACAAATAAATGGCACACATGAATACAGCGGAACTCACCAACCAGCAAGCAGGTGATTGAACAGGGATGAATACGGCTCGTGCCGGCCTTCCCAACGCGGTTTAGCGGAACTACAACCGAGGATAAGGGCGACCGCCCGAGCAGCCAGACCTTGGTTAAATGTGTGTAATAGAAAGCGGGAACCATTTCCGTGTCCGAGATATCTAGAGAGCAAAAGGAAGAAAATCGATCGACGTCAAGGATGTGGACGACAGAGGCATCGATTGATGGGCAACGGCGCAGATGAGGATGTCAGAGAGCTGAAGTGGGAGTGAGATGAAGTTAACATATAGCTGACGCGATGCATCGTCCCATTAGGTGGAGTGAAGTGGGATTGTGTGATATTTCAGGTACTGGTATGCATGAGACAAACACCGCTAAGACGCCCACATGTTCCATGCCACATTATCTGGGATATGTAGTGCTGAGTACAGATAGTGGGACGATCATGGTACACCACAGTCACCACGATATGATAGTCAGTTTCGTCCAGTTTTAAACAATTGCTGAAATAATGTGGAGCAATGCCAAAGTAATCGCGGATTCAAACCGTGTACGCACCTGTCTCATCTATTTGTACAAGAGGCGTAAGCTAGGAGCTATGTGTGATGTCATGCCAGTAATCTATGATTCAGCTTTAGGTGTAAGCGACCAGTGACAGCCAAGTCAGAAAATCGAGGGTGCTGACCAATCACTCAAAGTATCAAATGGCATGTGAAGTGGCATGGTGAGGCGTGAGTAAACATAGACTCAAGTGCACACATGCATGATGAAAAAACCACACACAGAGCAACATATTCCCAACTGAGGACTGTAAACACTCGTTTTTGACATCTAAAAATGAAGTACTGAAGTAGTTGCCGTATACATGCTGTCATCACCATAAGACGCTCACGTGTCATGTCTAGAAGCATAAATTCGAACTGCAAAGACAAAAATAACATAGCGAAGTGAAAGTGCAAACAACCAATTAGCTAAGTAAGAGACGAAAATACGACTGGATCAATAATGAAGAAATAAGAGACTCGGTTTCGGATCAACTAAATCTAAACATGACGTAAAAATCCTAGGCATAAAGTCACTGACAAAAAGCGGGAATCCGATTGAACCAGAAGTCAGGGAGGGTAAATTGGCCAACAAAACCTGCAATACTTACATGAACAGATCATGTTCAGTGAAGCCTGTATTAACCTCGACGGGGGTCGGCTCTCGGGCAATAACACCACGCCAAGTTGTCAGTTTTTGAAATAAGGGCTGAAACACTTGTTGTGTGAAGGATAGATTTGCTTCGGGATTAAGCACATAATAGGAACGATGCGGATCGAAGACGGGGAAGGTGTCGGACTTCAGCGCGAGTTGAACAGTTGCCAGATGACCAAGAACAAGCGGAAGACTGAAACTACGAGTGAACATTGGCACCTGCTCACAATCAGAACCCGCGTCCGTAAGAATCCACTCCCACGGTAAGTAGATGAGCCGCTGCAAAAGCGAAACAAAAAGAAACTGGTTACGAATTAGCGGTGACAGAGTGACCAATTTGCGAATTCCAGCGACCTTTTGGCGAGCACAGAAAACATGAAGCGGCAAATAGGAAGATGAGTAGCCCTATACCGCAGTCCGTTCACATTAGTACAAAGTGACAGAAAATCCGTGTGCATCATGCTTGGAGCAAAACTGATGGGGACGACGATCAGAGCTAAAAGATGTTTAAACTAACGATCGGCAGTAAAACAAGGACTCACTCTGTCTAAGACCAGTACGATGGAACGAGGAGTTAAGCCGGTTTTAGTATTTCGATTAAGGAGCCAAGCCAGATCGTCTTGAGTGAACCATTCTCTTCGCATTTCGGCTAAAATGGCCTAAAAAAAGAGGGCTTCACGTAAGCAGAAAGTTCACGATCGTGACTGACCAATGGTATGTAGGTGCCAAGGTTCGAAGGATGGATATAACGGTTTTACACTGAACATCCGCCAATCTCATTTCTAAACGTTTTAAACAGTTAACAAATGATTCAAAATTCAGACAGGAGACAGTTAATCAGTCCTCAGGAGCACCACTGATAGATTCGCCCAGAGACTTGCTACTGTACGATGGAAACTGTTTTCACTAGCATTCAAGCTTTGAATTACGGAAAGCATTTCGGCTAATTCTGGATTGTGCCCGAGATGAAGTTTGTCGGATCGCTTGAGCATCCGAAGCTGGTTACCTGACACAACTGGTTCATCAGCGAAATCCACAATACAGTCGCTAACGGTCAATTTGAACACAGGTGAGGAATGAAAGGGAGAAAAAGGATGGATGCGAAGTGTCACACGTATTGTAGCGAATTTAAGGTAGTACCTCGCAGGCACTTGGCAGACCCAAGGGTGTAGAACAGAGTTCGCAGTAGAAGCCCATTTCGTCGACGTAACCCTCCATGGGTACTCAGTGACATAAACGAGTGTGGTCGATAGACTGAAATATCCTAAGTTTAAAAAGCACTATCATGGTGGGCTGTCTGTATATGCGACAATGTTAAAAGCCATAACTGGAGAGGTTGCCGATGCATCGTATTCAATCGGTGACGAGAATCGGCTGCGCAGTGATATACCATGTGGTTTAAATCACAGGGACATTGACAGAGATCTATGGAATAGATGCGCACAGTAAACATTTGATCACAGATTTTGGGATAAAAATTTGTCACCGAAATTGGAAGATCTACAGGATGTTTTATTAATCAGGTCCGGAGCTAGGAACGGCTGCACTCAGGTGGTAACGTACACCGGTACGCTGAACTGATAACAATCCAATGACGCAAATTGCTATGCCAGCATAGGTGAGAATGGGCACAGAGGCGCGACACGTGTGACTAAGATCGCAGGGCACACCGAGCCGTTCGGTTGTGAGAAGTGAATGTCAGCAAACGTTAGTCAGACAACACAGCCGCAATGAATGCGTCATGCCTCGACCGCAAGGCAAAAGCAATGGAACACATGCCGTTTAACTGTGAGAACTGGACATTAGCCAGCCACCTCAACCGCACTGAACGTGTCACGCTTCGATCGATCGGTAGTCGGCCTTCACGCGGGTGAAAAACCAGTAAAAGAGTTCCGTGTGAAGTGGTTAGTGGGTCGCTGTGCTAGCAATTGAGAAATACAACCTGGCCGTGTATCATGACCGGTCGATGGACGCCGTATTGCTATCGCCACAGAAGCTGTTATCGCCTCATGACTGGCATCCAACACACCTGTAAGTCTTTCTAAGGTTGCTTTCGCTGCTAAAGAGAATCATACAGCCGGGAGCACATTGTAATGTTAGGGTGTTGTTCGTTTTACCGTTTCGAGTGCGTGTGCGTTACAGCTGGAAATTCACCCTTCATGGGTGCATAAAAACGAATTCTTGGCTTGATTTGACGTGACAATGCGCTTAGATTTCAATCTGTCCCGACGCACTAGTGGTATCATTAGACAGCACACCAATTTAGTCATGAATACAACTATTGCCCTTACAGTCAGACAATTGCTAGTTGTACAAATTGATCAGGCCTTCAATGATGTTTCTCATGTATAATGGAGAATATACCTTTGATATAGAAGCAAATGTTGGCAGCTAAGGTTGTTCAGTTGGTGGTCTAAGTGTTCGCTGAGCTCGGCAGTTTGACTGCAAACGTTTGGGCACCACTCGAGGTGACATCGTCAGTGCGCGTTGATTTAGCGGAGCGGCGCGGTACGAAGCGTCAGTGTGTGAAATGTTTGTAAATGTTAACGAATTAGATGTTTGCAACATCAAACAAATGGACGGCCTCGCACCGTCACGGATGAAGTAGCAGCTTGCACGGTTGCGCAAGAGGTATGCAGTAGCATCCATCTCAGCGTTTGGCAACTCGCACAACATTGTGAAAGCACACCATTTGCTGTGCAGCGGATATTGAGGGGGGGGGGGAATTCCGGCGGTACAGTGCACTGCAAGTGTTGAACGCATGCGATTCACAGAAGCGCCTGGAATTCGTCTGTTTGTTTTTAAACAGTGAACGTACATTCCATTTGTTCACCGATGAGGCGGTGTTCTCTCTACATGGCGAAGATACGCAACATGATTGGGCAACAACCAACCCACGACAATGTAGCGCTTCACATGTGCAACATAGCGCTAAGTTCATGGCCTGGACTGGATTGACTGGTCGAACAGTCATTGGGCCCTTTTCCTTTTCCAGGAGTGTGTCCAGTAGGTTGTTGTTTCACAATATCAATGTCTGACATTTCTTATCTACCTGGTACATAGAAATGTTACAGAGCAGCGTCATTCCGCAACTACAGTCGGAAGGGTTAATGAATAACTTTTGGTGGTAGCAGGATGGCGCACCTGCGCATTCGGTTCGTGCCTACCTGTGAACGAGACATTCGGTGGACGTTGGATCGGTCGCGGAGGACCGTTGGAATGGCCTACGCGATCACCGGATCTGAATCGCATGGATTTTTTCCCATTGGGGATACTTGAAGCGCAGAATTAGTAGAACAAAACCCAAAGGCCTGGATGCACTGAAAGAGAACATTGTGAACGAATGTAGGCAGATTTTATTGGAAACATTGCAGAAATTGCTCGCCAACACCATCCGACGAATGCTCCCCTGTAGCCAAAACGAGGGAGGGCACTACGAACATTTACTTCGTTGATATTTACATACATTTCACACATTTCCTGTAAATCCAAGTGAAAAGGTGTCTATTTTCCATTGCACACGAGAAACATCATTGAAGGCCTGATCAATTTGTACAACTAGCAATTGTCTGACTGTGAGGGCAATAGTTGTATTCATGACTAAATTGGTGTGCTGTCTAATGGTACCACTAGTGCGTCGGGACAGATTGAAATCTAAGCGCATTGTCACGTCGAGTCAAGCCAAGAATTCGTTTTTATGCACCCATGAAGGGTGAATTTCCAGCTGTAACGCACACGCGCTCGAAACGGTAAAACGAACAACACTCTAACATTACAATGTGCTCCCGGCTGTATGATTCTCTTTAGCAGCGAAAGCAACCTCAGAAAGACTTACAGGTGTGTTGGATGCCAGTCATGAGGCGATAACAGCTCCTGTAGCGATAGCAATACGGCGTCCATCGACCGGTCATGATACACGGCCAGGTTGTATTTCTCAATTGCTAGCACAGCGACCCACTAACCACTTCACACGGAACTCTTTTACTGGTTTTTCACCCGCGTGAAGGCCGACTACCGATCGATCGAAGCGTGACACGTTCAGTGCGGCTGAAGTGTCTGGTTAACGTCCAGTTCTCACAGTTGAACGGCGTGTGTTCCGTTGGTCTTGCCTCGCAATCCACCCATGACAGGTCGTTTGCGGCTGTGTTCACCTCTCACAACCGAACGGCTCGGTGTGCCCTGCGATCTTAGTCACACGTGTCGCGCCTCTGTGCTTGTTCTCACATATGCCGGCAAAGCAATTTGCCTCATTGGACACTTATCAATTCAGCGTACCGGGGTACGTCAGCACCCGAGTGCAGCCGTTCCTAGCTCCGGACATGAATAATAAAACACCCCGTACATAGATGAGCGAGCTGAAGAAATATATCACTGACAGCAATCGCAAGGTGACGGGTGGATATCATGAGAAATAGTCAAGTGTGATTCGCGCTATACACAATAACCTGCGTAATTCATTATAAGGCTGGACAGTGCACAACGAGCTGCCAGGTGCACGGTCGATTTCAACGCCACTATTATTATTATTATTAGCATTATTGGGATAATCATTGGTAGTAACACTACGAGTAATTCACACTTATGCTTCGCTACCATACTGCGAATGAGGAGGTGAGTAGCGGAATCTATTAGACGATCTAAGCACCCAAAACAAGCAACCAAGGTTATAAGGTTAAAAGCGGTTGGGGCTATGATGTGAAGATAGAGCTACATCGCCGAGAGAGGTTCGTTCCCTGAGGATTTCACTGCTTAGCGTTATCTTAAACCAATATCCCGCAGATAACTCAGCATCAGACTAGCTTTAAACAAGTGGTATGATTAGGAAACGACGGAAAACACGTCAATGGTACCGACTGCGACGCGTGCCCTAAAAGTTTCCATACAAGCACAGGGTCTCGCCCGAAGCTTAAGCCCGGAAGGCGAGATTGCACAATAGTACTCGATCCAGGAGTCAGTTATTGTAATTCTAACCGTCAAGATAATGGCTGCTTACTGAATTTTGCGTCATCTAACATCATGAAGAAAATATGGTTCCTCCCGGTTATCAAGATAACGAACTACATGTCCGAAGCAACACAGGTGTACTGATGACCTAACAGATCCGATCGCCCTCGCCTAGTGTTCATCTGTGCTCTTCATCGCTGTGTGCACCTTGGTGCCACCGGACAACGACCATGGTCAGGGGGCAAGGACGGCCGAGAACATGAGGCAGCATGATGTGCTCAAACGAAGATGGTTAATTCGTACCAAAGTAGAACAGAATTGCCTTCACTGTGACTCCAAATACACGGTGCAAAAGGTGGTGCAGATTGATGAAGGCAGACGTCACTTGCTGTGATACGCAACCGTCTCCTCACGTATACTCACACCACAGTTTACCTTGCTAGTGAATGAATCAACCGTCCCAAATTCTTGTCGGCAGTGATCAAACGACCAGAAAGCGGGTGGAAGCTATGCAACGGTACTGTGTGCGTAAAGCACATGCAAAACGGCAGATACTTCCTGGTTTTCCCAAAGACAACTGCTCCGTCGCCCGAGTATTCAAGGCCAGACAGCACACGTTGTATCGTGAGGTTACTCAAGGAAACATCGATAATGGATTTCACGATAAAAAGCAACAAAAATTCGGCAAAAGGGACGGCTCTGATAAATACCAGCTATCGGAAGGGCGCCCGACAACTCTTAGTTCCCGATGCAACCAGTGGTATTATGGTAAACGGTGACTACAATGTATGCAGATTTCATTGGATTAGGTTTCAGTCAGGTTCGATGAAAAGGACGGAGTGATCGACTGAATCCAAGGTGCTTTTGAAACATGAGAACGTAATAATGCCCGCCTGCGACACGTGTAACGCTGCTGTATCAGTGGCCACAAACTGACCAATTCAATCCGGTCCAGGTTCGAAACCTGCCTATTTTCCATCAATCAGTCAGGGCACTTATTCCACAATGAGGTAAAGGAGAATAGAGCTCGATAACTTTGTCAATACCGTCATCAAACTCAGCACAAACGTTTCAACTATTATTTCTGTGTACTGCCATCATGGTCGATTCCTTGGAGTTGGCTGATAATTTTTTCACCTATACTTGATTGAATAGGCGAAGTGATCCTTGGCAGAGGACCTCATAAGGGAATAACATAAGTCCGTAAAGTAAAATTGGTTGGAAGTTGTGAGCTCGTTCCGAGTCTGTTTCGGAAACTTTAAGCGAACCGATTATGGTCAGAGCTGCGCTGTTTGTGCACCAGGCGACTCAAAGGAAGCGAGTTAACTGAACAGCACCCGAAAGAGATCTACCCAAAAAGCTAGATGCATTCTTTAATGTGAATCGGATAGCCGGCGTTGTTACTGACTGTCTGACTAAAGAAGGAGCCGTTAAGGCCCGTGAAGCGGACAAGTTGGGATAGCCCGTGGAAGTTACTCGCCGCTCTGTTTCCTCAATTTCTGGCCCATCCTGTCACAAGAAGGATACCATGTCAGCTTATACGCTTTGTTTTACCCCATTCGTTAGCCCGTCTAGTCTATCTGTGCTTAGTGCAGACAAGACTCAAGTGGACTCTAGTATGTTCTGGTATCAAGTGCCTGTTGAATAGTGGTGACCGCTAATGCTGCAAGTAGAAGCTCTAATACAGTGTATAGTCACAGAAATAGATTTTCAGAGTAATTAGGCGAAAGTCTATTTGCATAAATTCTAAAAGGAATGCACTGTGTTCCGAACACAACTGTGGTTGTCCATGTAAGCGGAGGAAACGGTGATGCAATGGACGCCTTTGCATGAGAAATCCGCTCATCGACAGCTCATTGCGACATGCTACAATCGAGAAGTCAACTAGTTTTTGTAATCAGTCTTCGCTTTTGATGACTGACCACCTGATACGGCGATTAAGACGTATTCTGAGCAATCTTCTGTTGACTGTGCCTTTACGGTTGATATCACGTGTTGGTGCTCATCCCATTAATACAAATAAACAACGCAGTACAACCTTATAGCGTCGAGCTAGAAAACGAATTAAGATTACCAGGGTAGCTCAATCTTACCTCCAAGCGGCTATCCAAGGCGTACCTTGTTTTCCAGTAACGGACACGATCTTGGATTTGCATGGAATCCAGGCTCTCTGATTGAAGTTGTTCGAACGTGTTCAGCGCATTTAAACCCTGAGGTGAAGCGATTAAATAAGAGCAATGTGAACCACCAGTATCAATCGTGCAGTAGTCAATGATTGCAAACAAGGAAAAATGGATAAAGGGATGTAGAGAACAGCGGCTTACACCGTTACCAAATCCATGTATGACGCGTGATTCCGCTCGAAGGTTGGCACATGAAGTACCAGAAATGCCAGTAAACTTTGTGGCCACCAGATACGCACGGGTTTTGGAACCAAGACCTAAGGGTACGTTGTGAGTCGGATCGATCGGAGACGAGTCAGAGGATGGGGAACAAAATCGGGGGTCAATTACAAGTTCGTCCACAAGACATAGTTGGACTACGGTGATGAGGGAGGAAGTGATAGGATCGATCGAATCATCTTGGTGACGTAGCGGGTGATAAGGGATGGAGCATTCTCTGATCCGGCAATATCCGTGGAACCAACCGTCGGAGGTAGGGACAGTAGAGGAGGTCGTCCTGGACTCACTGTGGTGTGCAAGAAGTGAAACAGGTTAAGTGTTCAGTGAAGCAAATAGCAAATGAAGCAAATAGATTTAAAGTGTAGGAGTAGTCGGAGTCAGTGAAAACGGCCTGGACTCGCAATTGACGAATAAAGGTGTACTGCAAGCAGTAAATAATCCAAAAATGAATATAGAGTACTCCACTCTGTTTAGTCGGCAGATCCCCACAAGTGATCTGCAGTTAAGATGACGTGAAGTATACACAAGTTGTTCGGAAATTAGAAACTAATGTAGAAACGCTTGGCGGGGGGAGGGGAAGAAACGACCGAATGTTACTCACAGCGGCTAGCGGATAGCTAATCAAGGTATCTTGAGGAGCCCACGTTCAAAGGATAACACTGGGTCATCTATAGCAAACGGGTGATACGTATGCAAGATATGGACCACATCGAAGGTAGCTATTCAGTTTGAGTTGTTCCATTACAACAAACTAAACAGCACTGCTCAGTGCCCGTCTATGCACAGAACCGCTGCAGACACACAGGTGACATCACACTAGAGCCAGTAGGCAACAATGTGCAATGACTTGGAGGCACCAGCGACCTTCAAATAGAAGGGGTCAATTTCCACATCTAGTGTTGTGTAGGCGATTTTTAGTTCAGACGAATCACTTCGAGCGCGAAATTCGTTGTCTTAATAGGGATAGTTTCCGCTTTCGTGACAAATGAGCCTACTTCGGAGATGATACGCCTATCAATGCCAAAAGAACTGCGATATCAAGGGCAGTTTCGTGTGGGAGGAAGTTAGTTAGAAGAAAGGTAAACGGAGAAAGAATGGACACTAGCGACAGTCCTGTGGACGGATGAGACTTCTCGTTGCCAATTTGGAGAGATCGGTTATGTTCGACGTCTCCTTCGAGACAGATGGTCCAAAAAGAGAAAGGCATGTAATACACGTAACACAAAGTAGGTACCCCATTAACAAAATAATAATCCTGACGATAATAGGCAACATTATGAAAAAAGGATTGTGACGAGTCTGCATAGAAGTGAAGACAGTTGTTGAAAAAGCGTAGAGTCAATGTGTTGTGGAATGACAATTACACGAAAGAATATCGTACAAGGGCGAACAACCAGACTTACGATAACCGTGAACTGAGAATGGACATATATAAGCTTGTTGGAGCGATCCCAACAGACTGACTAAAGTACCGGCCAGCTTGGCTCTGACAGTCCTTTCCAAGCCACCAGAGACCGAGCCAGTGGCAAATTGGACGGACGAGGTTAGGCACCGGCAACCCGGCCAATCGGTTGTAAGCTGCATTCAATCGAGTGGCGAGTTGATCGGCTGCGGCTGTTGCCTCAGTGACACGAATATTTGACTCGGGGAATGGGGGAGAAATCACGATCGACTCTGGCGACCGGTGAATTGAGCGGTACTGAACGTCCTTCCATCTCGAGGCTAAACGGAGATTACGAGGTCGAGGAAGAATGCCGGTTAACGATGGGCATGCTTCAACGGGATCATACAGCGGACCAGATTCGGCGGTGTCCTGTTTGTTTGCAACACTAATTCGTTCCGTCTGACGAGGGTTCTCATGAGAGCTCTAATATAAGAAGAATGCGGGACTTTTTAACACCAATTTGATCAGACAGGAAATGTGGTAACGTGGTTAGCTAACACCAATGTCTTGAATTCACGACACGCCTATTTGCTCTCGGATGATTTTGGCAGATTAACCGTGCTCGATGGGATGATTCAGGCGGGACACTTAAGCACCATGCGGATGGCTGATAAATAGGCACAGAATGTATAAAGCGAGTGAACTGATGGTCGTCTAGCTAGTGTTCCACTGACGAGGTGGAACGCGCTTTGGAGACCAACGGCTAGACGATCGATGATCTGGACATAAAGCGTGAGAGCAAAGGCTTGTATGTGCACCGGTATATGGTCGGTAGTTAAGTGGAAATAAAATGCAGTCCCAGGTGAAACGAGACTAGACATAAACGCGCTGAGACGCTCAACATGCGTCTCCAGTCCAAAGGACAATATTGGGCGGTGCTAGTCAACACTCCGAGTATCCTAATAGGGAAAAACCGGTTTCCCAGTCCTCTACTTTGGAGCGGAACTAGGGTGGCATCCATTCATGTGAAAGTGGTCCATGGCAATAGTTTGTGAACCGTCTCTAAGCTCTCGCTTTCGATCCAAAGACCCTGGTTGTGAAGTCAAATCGTCCTTCCCCTAGGTTTGGGTGCCCCAATATGTTTTATTTCTACAACGAAATTTCCCTTGAGTTTGTAATGGCTAGTTAATGGCATACAAGCCAGTAATATAGTACTGCCGTCGTTTAATTGATGTAACCTCACCAAGCTTCCACTTAGCTGAACATCTAGAGCTGAGTGCGTTTTTGGCCCCAGTCAAAGAGATCATAACAGGAGGCTAACAGGAGGAAGTAACGACAAACATACCAAATTAGTTGCTACTTTCAGTGAATTCACCTGATTCAAAGTGATGTAAGCAGCTGATTAGGCAAAAGTATGTGCAAATACATGCTGGATGCTTGGCAATGATCACACGTATGTAGTGAGTTTAGCAAAACCGCAGTGAATCAGCGCACCGCTTTTATTCGAGATGAAGGAATCAACTACCTCATCCGGGTCCACATAGAAATCGATGGCTTTTCGCTGCTTTGTGCGCTGTTTTCTTGGAGCCAACCGATATGCAAAGTTGCTCAGAAACGCTTGATCATCCACTTGTGACTCGATCATCGGTTTGGGCAGGCCAGTGAAGTGAGCACGTCGAACATTCACCGGGGTGGATGGAACAGTGGATGAAGGCGCAGCCAGGGGAACTTCGATGTTAGAGACATTGGTTGACTCTGCAAAATGTAACGGATAGACCAATGTATAACTTAGGAAAAGTGATGTTCTTTCCAGTGAGAGTTTAAGAATGAATAGAAAAAACAACCAAATCAATCAGTTGCAAGTTGTAGGTTTAGGTCCATGGGTAATTGACTCCTGATGACAAGTGGTAGTTGAGGTACAGATTACAGATACACAAATAGAAAATGACTTAATGACGGACTTAGCTAGTCAATGAATGCATGCTCAAGTAGGCAGAACACAGATTCCTGAAATTTTCAAAAGGTTTTAACGGAAGGATGAGGTAAAAGATGCCAGACGAACACGGTAGCGTACAACTGGACGGGGTGAATGCAAAGCCCATGGAGGACAAGTAAGACCAATGGAAGGCAAGGAATAAGCGAATAAAGATAACATATTCCAATGCAAAATAATCAGGCACCAAGAAGCCCAGCACTGAATGCAGAGTCACAGCGCTCACGAGAAATGTTCAAAAAGTCGACCGAGAAAGTAGAATACTGAGAAACATACACAAGTACACAAACTCTGACCACTTAAGGTTGTGTCGCAGCTGACGTTTTCACCCCACGACGGCAAGATGGACACCAAAGATGTGCCGGGAAAGAACCGCAGGCATTGAATCATGTCTGTTTAAATAGTTGTAAGAATGATTCAAAGGGAAGCTACTAAAAGACATTTCAGTCAACCATATTGCTAAAAGCATGCAAGCAAAATGAAGCCAATGAAGAGTGATCAACAAAGGAACCAATAAGAGATATGCACGAACGAAAAGACAAAGTGTTAGCAGCCAAGTGGCATTGCGATCCAAGAGCAAATACAGTGACCACAAGCACCCAATAAAATTAGCGGAATGATGTGCTTAACCTAATGTCGCATCGATAGCTGAAGGAAACAAATCGGTGACGAATAATGTTTTCCAAAATATCTATGTGCAATATGTGTCTCCCTAACACTTAAGCACAGTCAGACACTGATTACGGAAACTGATAAGGGGGAATATTTGAGATCAGGAGGAAAAGTGCCAGCGATCACAGTAAATAACACTAACCATTGCTGGTCTTTAGTCTGCGAGAGCGACTGTTACAAGTGGCACGCGAACACGGGCTTGCCCGGCGATCCGCAAGGCGTCGGGGCGCGTTCAAGCTAGGAGCCGGCGGTGGCATGGTTTTGCCTGTATGGAGAGTGTCCCGGGATTCCGACCCAGAACCCATCAAGGATTGTTTTACCTGAGTGAAACGAGTGAGCGACTCGTGCGTCTCCCGCGATGGGCTTGCGTTTAAAGCTGCGAAGGCATCCAGTAAGTCGTCCACGCCATTACGCTTGTTCTATAATAGAAAAATGTTAGTTTCGAAACGTAGTTAGTGGCGAAGGAAAGTTTCGGTGTCGATGCCGCTAACGTTGGCCTATCAACACAGATTTGAACGCTGAGGCGCTGGGCGGCCGGCGATTGAGAAAGCGAAGATTAACTATCCAAAAATGTACCGGGTACCGCTGGAAAACTTTTAACTTCGATAGGGCATTTAAATAATAAGTTGAGAAATTTGCTAGGAAGTGTTATCATTTCGACTCAAAGCTTAATCAAGGAATGAACTGGACTAGAATGAATCAGCTCTTCGTGAAGAGCTTGAGGTTGCAGGGCTACTGCTCGGAATGCGTTTTCCAAAACCAAATACTCGTTGCCCAGCAACCGAGTTGGAAGATCGACCAATGATTGTTGGCCCTGGAGCACCCTCCATGTGTCTGGATTGCAACACGCAATCGCAATTTGGGCCACGGTTTACCTCGAAGCAAATCTCAGACATTACAAATACTATGACAGCATTCGAAGAGGAGAGTTTCGGAACTGTTCTCTCCGAACACTGCACTTTACAACCGACGGTTACCTCCTCATTTGGACTCGTCCGGTAGAGACAGCCTAATCTAGGAGTGGAACATGGCACCTAGTTGTTAGCGGCTATCGCCGTGATTACTTTGCCACTGAGCTTCGCCAGCAGCGTTTGACACAGCGGTTACACTATAGAATTGAATCTGAATGCTAGGTTTCGGAGTGGAACCCGACACATACTGGTGACTAAGCCAGAGCTTCACGAGCAGTAATCGGAGTGCAGCTCGGAAACTCTTCACTTCGGAAGCGGTTCCAGTGATCGAGATGACAGGGGTTTGCTCCAAAGTAAACCGTAGCCTCAATACAATTCAAGGAGGTGTTTTATGCACCCATAAGGGTGAATATTCAGCTGCCACACACACGCCTTCAGTGAATATACAATTAGGTTACTAACTGGAATAGACAGCAATATAGTCGTAATGCAAAATTGCATAGAAACTCCTGAACAAACGAGACCTGATCGTGCAAAATCCGCGCCGAATAAGGAATCACGGATGAGTGGTAAGCACTTGTAGCAGTACAAACAGATCTATACGTTTGTCTGATTGGGGAAGTTGATATGCGATCAGACAGTGCCCCATGAAGGGGGTGACTTGCATCAATGAGTATTTTTGAAGCAAACATTTTGCATGTACTGGTATGAGTAGACACAAGAATGTCAACAAAGATCGGCTTCGGAATGCCACAACATCGAGACAGTGGCGTCATCGTCTTATCTAGGACTTTGAGATACTCCCATGGGAAATCGGGAAGTGTCACGGTGGAGCAAAACAGGTCCAGTGGGGTAACACACAAGCGGTGATAAATCACAATATTAAGTAGCGGGTGACAGAGAAGAATAACAAACGGGCAGCGTAGAAAGAAAGTCCTCTCATTTTTGTATAAATTTCATTCATCTGGAGTGACTAAGAATGAGATCACATCATCAGTACATGTTAGTTGAGGTTGAGAAACACATCTCAGCTAATGTCCCACAATACAAAAAGTTAAGATATAAAAAACTTACACTACAAAAAGAATTAAAATGCATGTAATATAATGTTAGATATTATATTATGCATTTCGTATGAGATGGGAGTTGGAGGGGGAATGTCAAAGGGAGGGGGATGAACAAAGAAAGTCACAACACAAACGTTATTGGAGGCCGGCTATTTGGCATATCAACAATTGTGTCCAACCAAACGTGTCCATCGTCCTTAGGACCCCAGCCAGGCAGTCGGCATGATCCAACCGACGCCAACTTCGAAATGAAGGTTTTCATCATTCTTGACCAAGTCATTGCTTGGCTTCCCCTCCTCCCTTTCAAACTGCACCCCCGGCGCGTAAACAATGCCCGTCGCGGGAGTCAGTGTGCTGGCATTGCAACACGTGTCCCAGCCAGGGGAGTCTGGTGCGTGATATAATGGTGCTGAGCGGTTCACTAGCTCTTCTTGGACAAAATACGCAACGCAGAACGCGCTCATTGCTCACGCGGTGTTCCCATCAAATATGAGCTAAGCTACAAAGACAGCGATGCTCGAAAGTCACCAGCATCTTTATGTCTGTTGATCTGATGGGCCTGTTCTCACAACCGTATAAGAGGCGTGGGCGGACGGCTGCACTGTACACTCTGCCCTTCAAGGGGGAGTGATGTCGCGTCTACGCCACCGGTGACGGAGATTGGCAAAAGCACCTCGAGCGTTTGCTATACGCTTCGTATCCTCGTCTTTGGTGCTACGGGTGCTAATACAGCTGCCCAGATACTTAATTTCCTGAAGGACTTCTAGCTGATCACCACAAAGAGTCAGCACATGGAAGGGTTCCTGCTAATCTTGGAGAAGTAACTTGCATTTCAATAGAGCAAAGCATAGTCCAAAACGATAGACAGCCTGTGATTATCGGTCCAGTACTGCTTGGTACGTTTGGGAGGTGTCACAGAGGAGCGCAATATCATCCGCATACTCCAAGTCAAGAAGTCGCTCCCCAGGAAGTAGCTCCACACCTTCTAGATCGTCTCCAGCGAAGGCTGCTTCAATGACTTCGTCAATAGCGAAGTTAAATAGGAAAGGTGACACCGGGTAACCTTGTCTCACACCGCTGAAGATATTGAAGTGCGGCGACAGTTTGCCATAAACTCTCACTCTGCCCGAACTATGCGCATACAAGGCTTTGATAATGGTTACGTATTGATCGAGCACACATTATCTCAGCAGACAGTCCCAAAGGGCACATCGATCCATCGAGTCGAAGGCACCTTTGATGTCGAGAAACACGACAAGAATGGGTAGTCAATAAACATGGCGGTGATCCAACAACGGACGCCAAGTGAGCATGTGGTCGATGCAGCCCTGACCTCGACGAAACCCGACTTGCTGTTCGCGGATCTGGCTTTCAAGAGCGTCAGTCAGTCTGTGGAGAACGTAGACGTAAGCAATTTAGAGGCAGTTAAGACCAGACTGATCTCTCGATGACTGCCGCATTCTGAACAGGAGCCTCCCTAGAAAATTGGAATTATGTAGGTGCGGTTGCAATCTGGCGGGATAGTTTTCTGCTTTCAAAGATCCACTGGTAAATCGTCTACAAGAGCAGGTCCCTCGAATTTGAAGAGGGCTGGGGAAATTTTATCTGCCCCTGCGGCCTTATGTAATTTCAACAATCTGATCTCACGTTCGACTTCTGCTCGTGAGGGCTGATCTAAGGAGACAGCTTGAAAAAGAAAGCGAGAACTCAGATCGGTTAAAGTGACTTGCAAAGTGTTCGGCGCAATGCTCCAGGCGTTTTGACAGGCTGTGGATCGGTTGTCCACATGTGTCGCATACTGTCTCGCCAACACCAGGTCTCTTAATACCTGTTCCCCGTATCAGACGGAATAACTTATGATGATTACCAACGACAGTGGCTGTTTCCATTTTCGGTGCATGATGAGACCACCAGGTTTTGCGGTCTTTCTTCAGTCTAGCATGCAGATTTTCCCTGAGATTTTTGCGAGTCCCGCTGTGTTCGCTTCCAGCCGGTATGTGTTGGCGAGTATCCATAAGTTCCAGAGACTTTGTAGACACTCAATGTCCAGGTTGGCAATATGAGTTTCCACATGAAGACATTCCTGTTGATAGTAACGTTTGGCGAATATGCAACCAGTGATGTTCGACGGTGCTCAGGGGGCGCTTAGTCAGCTCGGATATCAGCGTACTTTGATACGCTTTCAGGACACCTGGCCTCGCCAGTTGGGTGGTGTCAATGAACTCAGAGCGACGTTGCGAACGTCCGCCGAAACGCACCTTAAGGTCGGCACATACAAGAGCGTGATTGGAGTCTACGCTGGTGCTCCAAATTGGGCGACAGTTTTGGACACAGCCTCTCCAGTGTTAACTGAGCGCGGTGTGATCGATTTGCGTCCATCGTTAGTCCAATGCTGGTGAGCGCCAAGCCACTCCTCTGCGGGTGCTATGTCAAGTTAGTGCTCGCCAGAAAGTGACGAGCATCTTCACACGGGAGCCTACACCATGTTGGCCGCTGAGATGAAACAGAACAGAGGACAGTTTTTCATGTTGGGCGTTTAGATCGCCAGCCAACACCACATCCGTGCTTCTTCTGTAACGAAGGATATCGTTAAGTTGGTGACAGAAATTTTCGTTCACTGAATCAGGTCTGCAGTTTGTGGGGGGCGTAAGCCGTAATCACAAACGGGCACCGTTTGCCCCCGCGCGAGTTCATAGGTTGGAACGAGCCAGCTAAGCAAACGGCGCTTATCCGACTGTTGACTGGGATCCCGTCGGTTAGGGAAGCTTCAGCCCGGGGACTCAAATCAATGCTGACCCCAGAGTGAACTGCATTCGAAGCTGTGTCATCGACAGCAGGTGCAATGAGAATGTCCCGCCGGTGTCCCTAGTGGGGGTTCGCAGGGTAGGCACGGAGCTCTAATCTCACAGTCGCGGCCCCGATGAACAACAAATATCGATCGATGGAGTCTCAAGTGTTCGGGCAAGTGCTGCCTGTTGGCCAATCTGTAGCAAAGTGCGCAAGTTGAGGCATGTCAGTCTCAGCGAGGATCGAGGACTACAAACGGAGGTAGATGAACTGGCATTTTCCGCTTGGTTGAACATGAACTTGTCGACTGGACTGGAGCGACGCCCTGCGATTGTGTATGATTTGAACTAGAAGACAAGCGACTATACAAGCAAGGTGGGGGAGAGCCAAGAATTCGGGGATTGAAAATGGGAGGACTAAAAGTGAGGTTGGAGCGGGACGCTAGGGACGAAAACGTGCGAGAGAGGGAATAAGTAGGTGGGAAGGCCTGAACAGTAGCATTCAAACCCTCACCCACCCTGTTCGATGCTGCATATAGGGCGCCGTTTATTATCCTCTGCGACGGGCAGAGTATCCAGAAATAGTTAAAAGAAAGGTTCATTGCAATACGTGAACAGAATATTGTCAGATTGCCCAGGCCTAGACAGGAGAACG